GCCAGACATTAAGAGTCCAGCCGAAGAACCCGTATACACGGAAGTCTATGACTCAAATAAACAACATCCTTACTTGATTGGTGCGGCAAAACCCGAGGAACTGTTAGGGAAAGCGACAAAATGATTTATTTTAATTTTCGATTTTCTAGCCCAGAACTTAGTAATGCGCTGATTAACGTAATAGCCTCAGAGTGTGCATTTCTTCGTTAGTATTTTGCTGTTGGCATACCATAATTTGAACGTGATTTGTACTGTACACATTTAGTAGAAACCTAGTACCTTTAGTAATCTGCCTACAATCCCTGATGAAGTCTGTGTGATCAGATGAAACCGGTCGAATGGCATACAAAGTTGACAAAATCTGTTGTTCTGTGTTTCTCAATAGTTTCTGAGAACAATTCAAAATGGTAGTATCAATGATACCACTTAATATAGATAATTTTAATAGATGGATTTAAACGCTGTGATTTGTATAAAAGATGAAGTAGGTCATTCATCGGTAAGTCAACCTATATTTTCATTTTGTATTAGAGGGTTGCAGTGTTACAAGCTGACCTAAAACTGAAACAACCCTCATTGACAGGAAATTCGCCATTACGCCTGTTACATTTCTCGCACACGCAGTTTCCTCTCTCGCGCGATTTCCTCGCGTGTACAACTGGATAGAAGTGGAATACTTGTAAAATTGATGAAAAGTGCTGGAAGAACATTCGCAGTAGCCAAAATACCCCGATTGCTTCATAATTCATCGAACTGGCCGAAAACACGACCTTTTCGCCTCCACTTTGTTCCTTGATTTAATAAGTTTGCTCAGGTTGTGAGCTGTAAAATAGACTTTCAAGGCCGATTTTTTTTTGTCCCTCATTTTGTCAGTTTCTTTGGATCAAACACTGTTAAAATGACGGCCTCAAGCGAATTTTACCAGTCAAAGTTGAGGTTTGAGTTTTCTTCTGGGTCTGTTCTAGTTGCCTAAGTACACTGCTAAGCATAACAAAAAAGAGGGAATCACGGGATTTGTGCAAACTCGTACCAAGTTGCTATTTCAGTTACCGGCAGATTAGCGTGTTTCAAAGAGAGGGCGGTCTGTATCGGGTGGAGCGCGCGGGGAGTTATTGGAAGTAGCACCCTTCCCATGACACGTCGCGCGCCTTAAGATCTGCACCCTTCACTGTGTACAAACCCTTTGACACAACATCAATACAACGATCAGTGCAAGATCCTTGCCATGTTTTATTTCATTCTGACGCTATTGACACTACAAGGTGCGCCCTTTTGCCCTGTTTTATATTTTACAGTTAGTCTGAAGAGACGCGAATAGTTTGTTGTACTGATTTCGATCGCGCAGGTTGAGTCCGTCATCGATATGGACAGGATCGGGAGTGGAAAAGTCTCCTCCCCAGCGAAGCGCTGTGTTCTGCCTGATTTTGGAGATGAAGCACTTCACACCCGCGCTCTGTTTGTTTTCATTGCCCAGGCATTTGCTGTTACAGAAGCGCGACCCGTCAATCACATTCATGTCAATTGCATGACCTACAAAGTGATTGCTAATTTTGGAGGGCTTGACTATAGCTCCATGAATTTTTCTTCCATCGTCCTTCCTGAAGGAGCTGGTTAGGTGTATCTGCAAGAAAAAGGGTTGAGGCAAATAAACTCCATATCTCTACGGTAACTGGTCAAATTTTAGCTAGACCAAGCTGCTCGTGATCAGTGACTCGTGAAAGTCCGAAACCTATTAAAGTAAAGAAATTGAGCACGTGATGTTTTGCCTCTGTGGAACAGGTGAAAATAGTATTGGCAAGTGCAGCGCCAGGTTTTTTTACATGACGGCAGGAAAGGTGAGTTTCACGCAGGAAGTTTAGCAAAATTTACGTGAACATTTAACTTTTTTTTTCTTCACTTCGCTTTTTGTCCCAACAAATCCCAAATGTGTCAGTTTGGAATGTACTTTGCACAATTAAAACTTTGCGTTGTGAGTACCAACAGAACTAACCTTAACTTTGCAATGGTAGGCATAGCGGTTGATAACGCGAATTGCTCCTATGAATCCGCGGTGGACAAGTCCTGATCCTTGAAAGTATCCGTTGTAGAACCTGACAAGATCACAACTTGCTGTCCAAACAAAAAATTAAACAAAGAGAAAGATCAAAACTTTTTGACTTGCTCAGTTGTTGAAGAAATACATCAAACACGAGAGACAGTGTTTCATCGAGATATCCAAACACCGAGAAGAGAGTTGAACATGCAACGCGCAGAGGGGTATTTTTGACGAAATTCGAGGTGTTTGGATAGCCGATGAAACACTTTCTTGAGTGTTTGATATATCTTCTCAATCGAAAGAAAAACTAAGGAGTAAACGGAGAGGTAAAATCGTCAAAATCTACGCTAATTACGACCGGGTATTCAAACCTCCTTCACGGTTATTATTTTCTTTGTTTTAACTTGATGAATTATTGATGAGTTCGAGAACTACATTTCAGTGTACTTCAGGACCATTTCTGATGTGCCAAAAAGACCAATTTCGATATATTGAAATTCAGCATAACACAGTAGACCTCAGCATGAGGCTTTGATGAATAAACCCCACAAACTCTGTAGTTATTCCCCAGAGCCTCGCACTGAGGTCTATTGTTTTAGGCTGAGTTTTAATATATCGA